CGGGGGGGGCGGCAGCGTCTGCTCCTGCGTGCGCGTCGCTCACAGGCCTCCCCCGCAGAGCCCGGGTGCCTGCTCTCCCACTCACTCTCTCCTCATTCATCCACCCGAGAGGCAGCCACCCATCCATTCAGCAAGCGGTTCCCAAGCCCCACTGTGCGCCAGGGACCGGGAGGTACACCGCCAGGTCCCCAGAAGGCCTGGCTCGAACCCCCCTGCCAGCCACTTCCTGTCTGTGACCTTGAACCTGGACTTTCACCTTTTGGATCTTCAGTTTCCTCATTTTTTTAAAAAAAATATATTTTATTGATTTTTTTTACAGAGAGGAGGGGAGAGGGATAGAGAGTTAGAAACATTGATGAGAGAGAAACATCGATCAGCTGCCTCCTGCACACTCCCCACTGGGGATGTGCCCGCAACCAAGGTACATGCCCCCGACTGGAATCGAACCCGGGACCCTTCAGTCCGCAGTGGCCGACGCTCCATCCACTGAGCCAAACCAGTTAGAGCTCCTCATTTTTTAAAAAATATATATATTTTAAAAAATATATATTGACTTCAGAGAGGACGGGAAAGGGAGAGAGAGAGAGAAACATCAGTGATAATAGAGAATCATTGATCGGCTGCCTCCTGCAAGCCCCACATTGGGGTCCGAGCCCACAACCCCGGCATGTGCCCTTGACCGGGAATTGAACCGTGACCTTCTGGTTATAGGTCGATGCTCAACCACGGAGCCACGCCGGCCGGGCATCTGTAACGGCAGGCTCTACCTGCCGTGTTGCCGTGGCAGCCAAGTCCCTATAGTATTCAGCGCAGCGCCCAGCACATCCACACACTCAGTGGCATGCTTTCGCTTCTCCGGTCCAGTTTTTAAGTCAAGAGGACACGTGTACTTCAGTGAGGCCTCTCCCAACTCCTTGGCTATATATGTATATGTACAACCTACGGCAACACCTGCCCGGGTCCCCACGCACACTGTGACACTGCTGATTCGGCACTGCCCAATATGGTGGCCGCTAGCTGCGTGTGGCTATTTATACGCAAATTAATTAAAAGTTAAATCGAACCCTTCAGTCCCTCAGTCTCGCTAGGTACATTTCAGCGTGAGGCCACGCTGGACCGATGCAGGCCATTTCCTGGCCGCGGAAGGTTCCGGTGGACAGCGGGCGTCTCTGTTCCCTGGTATGTCTCCCATGTACTGCCTGTGCCCACCCGGTGGGTTCTAGCAAAATGCAAATTCCCCGTGAGTGCGGGGGTGGGTCCCAGCAAGGCCCCAAGGCCTGCTCGCACGTTTAGATAATGCTCACCTGCCCAGGAAACTCAAACTTATTCTGTGTATCTCAGCACCCGCCCGCCCGGGCTCGCTCAGATCCGGCCCCCAAACCCCGATGTCACGCGTGCACCTCAACATTACACTCCCGTTCCGTTCCAGGCACCCCGGATGCCACAGGCACAGCCGGACACCCTGGCTCCAACCCCACTCGGAGAACTCCAAGGCAAGCAGAACGCATGGCCGGCTGCACCCCAGCATCCAGCACTCCTGTGTGGGACCCCCCCACCCCCCGCCAGCGCACACACAGACCCCCCCAGCGCCTCCCTACGATCTCCACCGGCCCCAGCACATACTAATAATAGCGCGTGTGCTCCCCGCGCACACCAATTACCTACCCACACAGTCGGCTGAACAGCCCTCCATGAATACGCCAGTATATTTCAGTAGCAGCCCCACACATCCCAGTACGCGCCGATCATAACGCCCCCTCACTGTGCTCTCAGTATATTCCCACAGCACGCCCCCTGAACACATCCCAGCACACACCAGCAATCCCGAACGCGCTCCTC